TTATAAATGATAGCAGAGGCTCCTTTCTCCTATGCCCTATGGATTATATAATCCCTGAAGGGAAGTTCACATCTACTACCATAAATTAGGGTGTAAACACAGGCATCATAATTTTTTCCCTGCAAAGTTTACCATGATAGGGGAGGTCCTAGGGGAGACCTAATTCTGGATTTCTAATCACATGCAAAAAATTATAGGGCTTAAGTAAATGCCATGTTCTCTATGACATGGTGCCTCTGGTGTCAAGGCTGTGGTTTTCCTTTTCATCCTTTTGGCAGATTTATAAATAGAAATTTGATCGGCACCTCAGAATGGCTTCTGGAACATTCAGAATGTAAGATCTATGCTTGATGCTCTTGCCAGTCAAGGGACGAGAAGATTATATGACTCCATCTGGTCAGCTTTGATACCTAAAAAGCCAGTGCTTCTTCCAAGACAGTGGAGGTGAAACACATACAATGGTCAGCACTGAGTGGAAGGTGGGTGAGTTAATGTAGTTTTCATTTTTCTCTTTCCTGTATGTTGCCTAAAACTGAGGAAGGTATTATACTAAATAATGAGAAACCAAGCGGTTTGGATCTCTGAGTCTATTGCCTGCATTTCCCTTATCATATTTTTTCTGTTTTGGCTTCATCCTCAGTCTAGTAGGAAGACAGCTGTAGTAGTTCCAGATGACACATCCAGAGCATAGCAACATCAGGGAAGGAGAAGAGATCTGTCTCTTTGTTAAAAAAATTAATGTATGGTATACATATAGGAGAGAGTAAGTATCATAAGAATATAGTTTGGTAAATGTTAACAAACTTAGTAACTAATATAACTAGCACCCAAATTAATTATGTTTCTTTCATGCCCTCTTATAAACACCCATGAAGGCACATTCTTCTTCCTCTGTCTAGGTAGCATGGGTAGAGGAAAAAGTGTAGAAATACTGAGTGGTATGATTAATTATAAATCTTAGGTTACCAAGACATATATATTATCTCTTCAATCCCTGTTGTCAATTGTTGACTTCATGGATTCGTATAATAAGGTATGTAGGAACCCTATAGATTGTCAGAGACTCCTGGCTAGGAAGCAGAATATCAGTATGATTTCTACCCTAAAGGAATCCTCTCTTACTTGATGATCATCACAAGGGAACTGAGGTGTCTAGTAGAATAATGGAAACATGAGTAGGAACTAGAAAGTGAAGATGAATGAGAAGAGATGAGAGACACATTCCCACAATCCCAGCTCATTGGCAGGTAGGCTTGCACTTCAGCTACTCCACCTCTGTATCTTCTGGAAAGGACAGGAGTAATTTTCACATTCAGTTCATGCAGACAAAACACAGAGTGGTTGAAATTTTGAGGGGTGGATGTGGCAGTACATTCGGACCCCATGAAACAAAGGAGAACTCTCCTGAATTCCACCAGTCTGAGTCCCCTCCTCATAAATGAGAATTTGTAAGGGGAGAGCTGGGTTCTGTATTAATGGAATTTTCTTTTGTCCTCCCAGATTTTTGAAGATGAAAATGCTGGCTAGAAATGATTCCTTAGTGACTGAATTCATTCTTGCTGGATTAACAGATCTTCCAGAGCTCCAACAACCCCTGTTTTACCTGTTTTTAATGATCTACATTGTCACAATAGTGGGCAACCTTGGCTTGATCACTCTTATTGGTTTAAATTCTCACCTCCACACCCCCATGTACTATTTCCTCTTCAACCTCTCTTTCATTGATCTCTGTTACTCTTCTGTTTTCACTCCCAAAATGCTGATGAACTTTGTATCAAAGAAGAATATCATTTCCTATGTTGGGTGCATGACTCAGCTATTTTTCTTTCTCTTTTTTGTCATCTCTGAATGCTACATGTTGACCTCCATGGCCTACGATTGCTATGTGGCCATCTGTAGTCCATTGCTGTATAAGGTCACTATGTCCCATCAGGTGTGTTCTGTGCTAACTTTTGCAGCTTATACAATGGGATTTGCTGGAGCCACTGCCCACACAGGGTGCATGCTGAGACTAACCTTCTGCAGTGCTAACGTCATCAACCATTACTTGTGTGACATACTCCCCCTCCTCCAACTTTCTTGCACCAGCACCTATGTCAATGAGGTAGTAGTTCTCATTGTTGTGGGTATTAATATCACAGTACCCAGTTTTACCATCCTAA